TTTGGATCTGGTGACTCAATAAAGACTCTTTTTGATCACTACGCTGATCTAACTATTTTTTAAACCCTTCACAAATGTATCCAACATCCATATGCCAATAGTTTGAAATCCTAACTCTAGAAGTGATACCATTCATCACAACATATTCTACAGGCACTTCAAGCATTTGGGCAAACACTAAGCTATTTGGTTACAAACAGGAGGATCCTTCCATTGGTGTGTCATGCCTCATGTGACCCCTGTTCGTGGTCTATAGGTATAGGGATGAGAGAACAATGTCTCACATTGTTTTGCTGGAGGTTAACCCTCTTGAAATAAAAATAATAGAGGCTCTTTGCAAACTTAGGAACATTAGCTACACTTGCTCTTCCCCAAGCTCTTTCATTTCCTCAATGAGAAACATCTCTAAACATACAAACACATGAATTAGAAGCAGAAGTTGGTCATTCAGCCCATCATGTCTACTCCACCTTTCAATAAGATCATGCTGGTCTATTGTGTTTGAATTCCAGATTCCCATCTATCCTCAATAACTTTGATTCCCCTGCCTAATAAGAGTCTGTCTCCTTCCACTGAAAAGTATTCAATGACCCTGCTTCACAACCTTCACAGGCAGAGATTTCCAAAGTCACACAACCCACTGAATGTTCATCATTCTTGTCCCAAAATGTATCTCTTCATCTTAAGTTAATTTAGAAAGCCCCCTAGTTCTGGACTCACCCACAAAATGAAACATCCTTTTCACATCCACCTTGTCAACATTATTCAGAATCTTATCAAGTCGTTTTTCATTCAAAACACCATCTAGTCTTCTAAATTCCAGTGGAGAAAAGTCCATTTTGCCCAACCCATCCTCATCAGACAACTCATTTATTCAAGATATCAGTCTAGCAAAACTTCTCTGAAGTTCTAAGTCTTGCAGATAAACTTTCTTTTAACAAAAAGACTTCCTGCGCAAGATTCACTTTTAAAAGTCTAAACGTATACAGAACATTCTTTAGAATTCACGGATAATAAGAACTGCCGATGCTGGAGTCAGAGATAACACAGTGTGGAGCTGGAGGAACACAGCAGGCCAGGCAGCATCAGAGGAGCAGGAAAGCTGACGTTCCAGGTCCAGACCCTTCTTCAGAAAAAAGGGTCCCAAACCAAAATGTCAGCTTTCCTGCTCCTCTGATGCTGCCTGGCCTGCTGTGTTCTTCCAGCTCCACACTGTGTATTCTTTAGAATTCTTTTTTGTAGAAAAAAAATGTTTCTGTATACATAAGTATACTTAAAAAGAACACATGGCCATATCATTGTGCAGAGATTTTGTTGGAATTTGAAGAATGTAAAGGTTTTGTTTTTGTCCCCTTTACTTTCAATGTGTCCATTCAATGGTGTTTTCTCTGCTTCAGTTCTGGTCTCTTGAACATTTATTTTAATTGCTGCAATATTAAAGGCTGTGCCCACCTCCTTTATGATACTCCTTAAAACCAGCCTTTTGACAAAAATTGTGCTCACCTGCCCTGGTATCTTCCTATGAGGCTCAGTGTCAAATGTTGTTTGTTAAGACTTCTGTGAAGCACCTTGGAATGTTAACTTACCTCAATAAGAGCAACTTAGACATGATAAGTCGCTTCTATCTGTGTAAATTGTTATTGGCAGCAATCCAGTTAATATTAATGATATTGGCAGTGGCACACATTTTATTGTCAATTAAATCCTCTCTTTCACATGCTCGTGGTGACAACGTTCCACATTGGGAGCCTTATCTCTTAAAATGAGATCCATGGTGGGCATCAGTGGGAAATGTCAATTTAATAGTCTTCTGGTTTGCTCCAAAGGAAAAATTACATTCTATTAATAACTAAATGGATTGAAGTGAGTGTGGACGTTGTTGAGACTGTAAGCGACATCCTTATCTTATTTTTCTCTCTGAACAGACACTTGAACAGATTGCAGACCAGGAGAAAAACATTGCCCATCTAAAACAGGCCATAAAGGACAAAGAGGCTCCATTGAAAGTTGCTCAAACTAGACTTTATGAGAGGACCTACAGACCGAATGTGGAGCTCACCAGAGACCCTGCTCAATTTAAGTAAGCCAACAGAATGTTTGGGAGAAGGAGATCTATGCTCTGATGGTATTAATTCAAATGGTTAGTCTTGCCATTCTATCATGAATTATTATCTCGGTTCTCACCGGCTATTTTGTCTCCTGCCATTGACAGCTTGGTATGTGAGGTTGGTGAAATCCAGGAGTCCATCGCTCTCCTGCAAGAGAAACTCCGAGAAGCCCAGGCATCCCTGGAGAACTTAGAAAACACTCGAATGACTCTTGAGAAGGAAATCGCAATAAAAGTAAATAGCATATTCATTGACAGTGAAAAGTGCCTGAAACACCGTGAACGATACCCAACTGTCATTAGACTTTCAGGTTATCAATAAACAATATAAAACCACACACTTCATATGAGCAATAATATTTTGATTTTCCAGGGATTTAAAAGCTGAAAGCTGCACCAGGGTGCTGTACATATAGTTAAAAGCAATCTGATTCCATTTGAACAAATTAAGTGAAATCATCACTAAATTGTCATGAACTTGATGGCCACATCCAACATCCTGACTGTCAAGATGCATTATCAGCAAAAGAATTTTTTTTTGATGTTGTCACGATCTACCTTGCATTTTTTCAAATCCTATTTCAATAAATAGAGTTTAGAAGATGGAAGAGGGGGTTTCATAGAAACCTATAAAATTCTAACAGGAGTAGCCAGTGCAAATGCAGGAACACTGACCAGGGTGTTCAGAACTGGGGCTCACTGCCTCAGGATATGGGGAAAGCCATTTAGGACGGAAATGTGGAGAAATTTCTTCACTCAGAGAGTGGTGAGCCAGTAGAATTCTCTGCCACAGAAAGTGATCTTGTTTTCAAGAACGAGTTAGACATAGTTCTTAGCACTAATGGGATCAAAAGGTTTGGGAGAAAGCGGGAGTAGGGTGCTGGGTTGGATGATCATATTGAATGGCAGAGCAGGCTCAAAGGGCCGAATGGCCTACTTGTGCTCCTAATTTTGATGTTTCTATGTTAAACCACAGGAACAGAAAAGATTATAGTTCATGTGTAACATAATTAGTAATTCTTTAGTTTAAGGTTTAAATACATCATTCTAAATCACTAAACAAGATACCATTTTACACTTGTAACCCCCAATTATTCAGTGCCCCCTTGGGTCCAATTCCAATGTAGTCTTCAGGTAAAGCAGGAGTAAGGGTGATAATCAGACAAATGTAGTCCAGCCACTTTCTAAGGTCAAGCATTTGATTGCAACACCATGTAATGTACATGCTGAAGTTTTTTCTCCAAGACAAGTCTTAGTGTTACATTTTATGGCTGCAGTCAACATTGGGAAAGCTGTTTCAACAAGAACTACTCACATCACAGATAAAACGGTTACATAAAAACATGATGGATGGAAATGGATATGTTTAATGAATAAAACCCAGTGGGAGATGTCAATATAAGATTTATCAATGGACATCCCAACGGCTGTACGAATACACTGGTCAATCTCGTTTAATTATATGTGCAAGCAAAGTGTTACAGTGAAATGGGGTTAGAAAGCAGTAGGTAATTGAATGAGGCCATGCAGACATAATGCAGACCCCAATTTTAAGGATATAAATTCTGTCCTTGTTTAGTGTAGTATTTAGATTTTATAAGGTAATTTAATTGAAAGGTCAAACTGCCATCAATTTGGGACGCTGAGTATTGGCTGGAGCATTGGGTTTCTTTGCAACAAAATAGCACTTCTCAAGCTTTTTTCCAGTTTGTCCCCATTTTGACACTTGAAAATTAATGCAATGTCAGACACTAACAAAGTAAAACAGCCCAGTAACATTCAATATATGAATGATGCAGTTCATGTATTGCAGATGAACATATAATACATAATATAAACATTATAAATCTGTGATGAAAATCCTGGAACATTTTTCTTTGAGAAGGAAGTCTTTTGGCTCTTTGGGTCTCATCTAGTATTGATTCAAATGATTAGGATTCTTGATTTTCTTGATTCTTGTTTTTTTTCAATAAAGAATGTTAACTTCTATTTAAACTATTACTTATGTTAAATTACAAATCTCTGGTACCTTTCCCAACTGCAAGGTTTGTGTGAAATTGAATTGTCAGTATTAATAGATCATCAAGCTGTGGAAGGAGTTACTACAGTATCACCTAACTCCCTCTGTAAAACATACTTTCAGGCAGGATTGCTGAATGTAATCTCGATTTTTCAGTCTCTTATTTATGTGTTTTCCTTTCTAGCAGAGACGTTTAAGCAATCCTAACTTCAGGATTGACAGTATGCAAACAAGGGAGACAAATAAGTAAATTCCATTTTTATGTCATATGGAGAGTAGAGAAAAGATGCATAAGGGGTTAAAATCAAAAAAGAACCTCACATTACATCTTTACATTTTCTTTAATTGAACAGTGCATTGCTAATATCCCTGTGAGGCTTTTAGCAACAATTCATGGAATACTATACGAGGGGACATCCACCCAGAGATTTTAGAAGAAAAAGAATAACTGCAAGAAATTATGAAGATATAGGAGATTAATGTGATTTTATTGATAGTGTTCCCTATTCCCCAACTCTGTGACCCTCAAATGGGATACCAAACTGAGGCATCACAGTGCCATCCCTGGTGAGGTGATGTAATTACATTGAAATATTCATTAAACAAAAAAACCAAAGAAATACAGAGATAGTAGGAACTGCAGATGCTGGAAAATCTGAGATAACAAGGTGTAGAGCTGGATGAACACAAGCTGGCTGACGTTTCGGGCCTAGACTTTCTGATGAAGGGTCTAGGCCCAAAACGTCAGCCTTCCTGCTCCTATGATGCTGCTTGGCCTGCTGTGTTCATCCAGCTCTACACCTTGTTATCTCTATTATCAAAGAAATACGGACACTGGAAATCAGAAACAAAATCTTCAGAACAAAGGTCACTGAACATGAAATATTAACTCCATTTTCTTTGTACAGATGCTGTAAGACCTGCTAAGTTTTTCCACTATTTCTGATTTTTTTTTGAGACAAACATTTCCCATCAACACTGTTTACAAAATTGACAAATTTGGTTAGATATATCATCTGAGGTTTCATCACATAATCTTCTACCTGTCCAGTCATAGAGATTTTCTTTTTTCCCAGTATCCTATATTTCTGCATTTCATAAACCAAAATGTTCAAAGAATATGAATTTTTTTTAATGCTGTTCCCAGTGAGATTCCTCCAGCGTTTTGCAGGTACATAAAAGGGATTAATTTTCAATTTGTGGAGAGCCTAGGGTTTTCCTGAAGGATTAGTAATGCCGTGAGCTGTATCTGTTAACGAACTATGGCGCACACTTGGTGAGGTTTTGGGCATAAAGTGAGACCAACACATGGTGTGAGATCCAAGGGGGCCGTAGGCAGGGCACGGAAGGAGAATCTCTGCATCAAAGTTGTAAAGAAGAGAAAAAGCTCCATTTTGGCAAGGCTTTCCCCTAAGCAAATCCGTCGCCCTTTGAAACACGGAGAAGAAAATACATTCAGAAAATATTCCAACACCATGGTGAGTAAACTGCTACAGTCTTTTTAAAATAGCATTTTACCTTATTTGGTGATCAATAAAATCCACTGACACAGGGGCTACACATAGAGTTTATTCAGGATCTACCAACTCATGCCTTTAAAAGTTTGATGAAAACTTAAAAACAGTTGCTTTACCTCATGAAGCAGAAGGTTGTGTGTCCAAGACCTGCCTCAGAGATTAGCCCCATAATGGAGGCTTACACTTCCAGTGCAACACCGAGCAAATGCCACACTGTTGAAGGTGCTATTTTCTTCGATATGATAAAGTAAGTTGTCTGGTCAATATTTATTCTTCATACAAAATTACAGATTATCTGTTCATGATCACATTGAAGTCTGAGGGATCTTGCTATATACAAATTGGCGACCATGTTTCCTGCATGATAATAGTGACTGCACCTCAGAAGCACTGAGGTTAATATAAGGAAAGGTGTTCCTTTTGTTTTGTTAGATTTTCAGCTACAAATTTTAAAGTTTAGCTATTTTCAACTTTAACTTTTACTAGAGTGTTAAATAGGAAATGTAGGCTGAAGGCCTGAGAAATGCAATGAGGGCTGGCAATTTGTCTGTGCGGGAGGCTGGGAAATAATATGGGTAAGCGTAATGATATACCTATCTATCCAAAGTACATCTGCACCTCTTATTTTTGTGAGATGTGATTCTCCAATCTGACTCTAGCTAACTAACCACATAGTTGTTAGGACTGTATGTTTAATTCAGAACAAATCAGAAAGCAAGTTGAAAGACTGTGTTGGTACATTTAAAGAGTAACATAGATAAATTTTTAAAATTATGTGTACATTCAAACTTATTTTGAGAGATTGCTGATGAAACTTGACTTCTGAAACATTATATTTCTCTATTTAATTATTTTCATTTAAGAATACAAACCTAAGAAAATAATAGATGCTAGGTAATCTAGAAATATATGTAAATGAAAGTGTATCCAGATATAGACAAAGAATGATTATATGATAAAGGGGTTTACTAAAAATAGGACAATAATTTGATACCTGCAGAGAAAGGCATGAAGGCTTCTCTCTTCACAAATCTCCCCTCAGCATCCAGAAAGTGAGATGGGTTGAACTCATTTGGTTTTTCCCACTGCGTTTTATCGTACAGCACAGAGGACAGCAATGGAATCACCTGCATTCCCTTTAAAACAAAATATTCCCAAATGTGAACATCTCATCCAAAACAATTCAGAAAGGAAGAAAAACAGTAAAAAAAAATCAGTAATTGTGGGAAGCGAATGAACTGGTCATACTGGAGTTAAGTATACAAGATGAGTCAGATTAGTATGTTTCATTGCCAGTCTTACTGTTTTGTTTCCTTCTGGGAATTGGTGCCATAAGAGTTGTAGAAAACCATTGACAGTTGCACAAAGATTGCAAGGATAACACTTAATTGATGAAGGTATTCTTCCTCATGGTCTGGTCTAGCAGAAAGATATTTACGTATCTGATAGAACCCAGTTGATAGAAATGTCTTTTGATTCAAAAGCTAACTAAAGAGAAGGCAGAGCATTCTATTTATCTTACTTCATTCATCAAAGTACACCCTAAATGGTCAAATCCTCCTACACTTCAAATGATTCTAGGCATTTTGCCAGCGTTCGCTTATCTAGGAGTCTCTTCCACATTTCAGTGAAGAATAACTGACTGGCTTGAGTCCTAAATTTAATATTTTACTTGTTGAACCTGTGTACCTATATCCTGCCCACTAATATTGTTTAAGATTTATCATTTCTGGTCCTTTAACCACTTTTGGTGTCTTTGTATCATCACCTTCTAAGCATCTGCTTTCAATGCTTAACGTTCAACTTCCTCCAGCCTTTCTCATAACATTGAACTGTTAAACCAGAGTTTAGTATCCCACGTTGACTCTGCACTCTTCCCTCTGCATACCACCTTCTTGTTTCTTAGCAAACAGACATAGTAGTCAAGGTCTAATCAAAACTGTTAATCGTGACCTCCTTTAGCTTATACTCTATTGGGTTTGGTTAAAGATTTCACTGAATTTCATCATTGCAGTTGTACTTTGAGTCAAACATGTTCAATGTTTATCTATTGAAGACTTTACTTTCTCAACTCCATTGTTACCTCAGCACTGCAGAGATGATTCAAAGTGGCTAAAGTTGAACATCTCAAATAAGCAAAATATCTGCCAGATGTTAAACTCTAGTCACGCAAAAGTGTGTTTGATCTATTTCTTACATGCATTATGTACCTTTTTAACACCATGCTATTTTAACTAATGATTCATATCTTTAATGTCTTTAATGTATTATTTAAAGATTTTACCTTTGGTATAAAAAATCCTCTGAAGTGAGTATCCTTGGTTGTTGCATGTGGAATATTCATTGGAATTATATTAGCAAACCTTTGGACCTCATGCAAGACCGCATCAGTATATGGCATTCTCTTCCGATCTACCATCCTGGGCACTCTCTCTGTTCCAATAACTCTTTCAATTTCTCCCTGAACACTTCCTTAATGGAGAAACAGTTCAACTTCAGTTATATTCCCAATCATGAAAGAATAAATCAATTTCAAACCATTTGTATGTTGGCTAATCTGTTAAGAGGGGCTTGGTCAAAAATATAAATGTAAAGCTTTCTATTTCATAACTATTTCAGCAAGGGACATTGAAATAACATGACTTTGTGAATTTATCCAAGTGTTTTTTTTTAATCTTCTGTATTCTATTATGATTTGACATATTTTGTTGTAGATTAACTGCTGTTTAAAAATCTCCATGATGATCCCTTTTGAATTTAGGGGCCTCACACAAAGACAATTGCACAATTATGAAACACTGTTGTTTGAACAGAGAAGATAAAACTAATAGGGTGAGGAGTGATCATAATTGAAGAGTCCTGTCATGACCAGAAGCTTTTATATCAAAACAGTCGGGGATGAATATGCCTGGCTTGAGCCTTTATTATGCCAAAGAAATAAAATTGACTCTTTGGTCACGATTTCCTCATTCTTTCATTCAGCAAAGGCACACATTGATTTTAAGGCTTTTGTGTTGTTGAAACAGCCCTTGAAGCCAGTTTTCAGCTAACCAATAAGTTTTAGAAGTTGTTCACAAATCTGAAGTCTACAATTGAGCCAGAGGTAGAGATAGCTGGCAGAGTAAAATACTAGAACCAAGATACTAGAATACTAGAAAATTAGATTAAATTAAACAGAGGGAGAAATTAAAGCTGAACATTTTTAAAATATCCATTGACCAAAATGAGATGATAAAGGAAAAGGACAACTGAACAAGTAGAATCAAAATGTCAAAAATATTTTATCAATGAATAAGAAGCGTTTAATTCAAGAATAGGTTGTAGTACTAAAATAGTTGAAAATATTTGAATAACCCCAATACTGCACTATTAATGCCTATTTCAGTGGGGCTGTAAGTGAGCTAACTAATTGCTCAGGGAGTTTTATTCCTCTATCATAATGTCTGGTTAATCACATTGTTAAGTTTGTTAATATCTTTACTTATGCTTAAGCAAAAAAAGGCAATGCCTGTTAATTGTCTGAGCACCTATATAGTGAGCATATGAATTAAAAAAGGCAGCATCTGTGACACTGGGTGTGAAATGATTGGGGAAAGACTGAGAAGGTCGATAAACTCTCTCCACAAAAGAAATGATGTGTGCACCTTGAATTCAGTCTCTCCAACTGGCTTTGAATTTTTCATTAGTATTAGCAGAGAATGGTTATCAAAAGGTAGAAATTGAAAACAGAGATTTCCTTCAGATAGAAGATTATAATTGGAGTTACCTTAGAGAGCAAAGTGCCAGAATATGATGTTCCATTGATGTTTTGTGAAGTTGAACCTTACGATCAATGGAAAAACAAATTAATATGAAATTACCAGGTTACATTGTCACTAGGAGAAAAAAGCAATGTATGGTTTTGGCACTGTCACTTTCTAGTAGAAACAAGATCAAGTGTAAAGTATTCTTAACGCCAGAGGTTCAACAATTGAACGTTGAGGAAGGTTTGGAAAATTTATTGAAATTTATGGATAATATTTATAAGAAACTATTAAGTGTAATATTAAGTATTAAGTATAACTATTAAGGCATATGAGGCATGGTTAGAGTTTGATAATTTAGAAAGCAGAATGGACAGTCTTTGGAAGGATATGTGTACTGAAATTTAACAGACTATTTGCAGTATTGTAAAAATTTTACTTAGGTCTTCTTAATTCAGTGTTTTGTTTTAATGGATGGTGTTAAGATGTCAATCATGGATGTACACCCAGCATTAGCTGGAGTTAGATTTGCAGAAAGAAATACATTTTTGGAACAGAGATTGGAAGCCTAAAAAAATCCTGGGGAAACAATAATTTCCAGCTGCTTTCATGGCATAAATTGAATGTTCAGCAGTAATACAGAATGGGGGAGTCAATAGTAGCGACATTTCAAGACTGTCTAGATATGGATGCAAGCATCAATATGAAAGAAGGATCAGAGCCAATAGCAATGATAAGAGACACCTTTGGCAGTTATAATAAATGACAGGAATTGGAAGAGTGAACCCCAGGAATGTCCAGGGATTAGTCAGCAGAAGTGACTCTAATCAATTAATTTTCCTAAATGGAATAGCAAAGATTTTGAAATGATGCATAGCAAAGATCTTTCAGAAAAGAAAGGAGAAGCTTTAGTCAGTAACAAATGTTCCAGTCACAGATGGATCACTGTCCAACACAGCACAATTGAATGCATGTCCACAGTTAATGATGTGGATTGGTTAAAATGTGACCAAGATTCTCTAAATAATGCAAACCAAAGTATAGCGAATGAATTTGAGAATTGAACCTGCTTCAGGTTTGGGTTTGACAAAGTGCTGAAATCACGAAAAAGAATGATGACTCCCTGTAAAATAGCTAGGATAAACCACTCTGTCAGCACAGTTGTAGTTTCAAGTGAAATACCTTACTGTCAAGCAAGCTGTCTATGAAAAAAAGTTCAAGTGAAACTAGATTTGAAAGAGATGAGACAATTGCTTTTGGGAAGTTACAGAATGTTGAGTTTGCATAGTCTGTATATTAGACCTTTAACAAAATCTAACTTCTCCAATCAAAATATCAAGCAGGTGATAGTGGCATCGGTGAATAGGATTATGAAGGAAAACAGGCTAATTGTTTTAAATTTGCATTAGCAGTTTGCCTATCCATCTTGTAAATCCAACTGAAGGATGAAGGAGTAAGGGACAATGAGTACACTAACTGTATGGAGAAGATCAAAGACAAATATGATACATGGAGGAAGAAAAGGACATAATCGTGGCCCTTAATTAATGTTCCATGAGCAAGAGACTTTAAATTGTAGAAATGGACTTGAAGGGGGAGAAAGAAAATAATTTTCATCTGGCTCTTTGTAGATGTGGCAACTAGATTTAGCTAATGCCAATAGAACATATTAAAGAAAAAAACACTTATGGACAAGATAATGGAAAAATGAATAGAGACTAGAATGAAGATACCAGCTAAATTCCTAATGGACAGTAGGGGAGATATGAACAGTGTCACAATGAACTCGACAGTGAAAAGTTCCTTTTAGTAATGCAGCTAGTGAGGTAATAGAAATCCTAGCAGACCTACAAAGTTGTAAACTAACTCCTGACTTCAGTGTCCATGCAACGAGCTCACTGCAAAGGGCTGGGGAATGCAATCTGTATCAATTGGTTTTAAAGAGAGAAATCCAAAAATTCCTTCGATAATGAGTGATCGTTCCTTGGCCTGGAAAGGAAATGCAATTAGCTCAATGGTTCTCTGACACCACCTGAATTCCCTGCATTCAGGAAGAAGTCAGAAGTCACATGACACATGACACCAGGTTATAGTCCAACAGGTTTATTTGGAATCACACAAGCTTTCGGAGCACAGCCTCTTCGTCAGGTGCACCGAAAGCTTGTGTGATTCCAAATAGACCTGTTGGACTATATCCTGATGTTGTGTGACTTCTGACTTTGTCCAACCTAGTCCAATATTAGTCCAATGTGGCTCCTCCACATTCAGGAAGAAGGGCGTTTGTTAAGGCTGATGTTTCAGATAATTCAAGAATTGCAGTTTTCTGTGTGGCTATTGGAGATTAATTTTAATCCAGGGGCATGTATATTACAAAAAAGAAGATTGGACAAAGTACAAACATCCATGTAAAGTTATAGGTAATGATGGAAAAACAGTAATTTTACAACGTGGCAATTAAACTGCTAGAGTACATTCCTCAAGGTTAATTGACACTGATTAAACATTTATCTGAAATTTTAAAAAGTGATGAGGCACCATGCATTTTACATTGACGTCTGCTGGAAAATTACAAGAAATGATGATGGCAGATAAAGGTTTGCTTGGAAACCGGTGATACTGAAGAACGGGGTATGACTATTTGTCCCAAGGATAATTACCAAACCTTGGCCCTAGAGTCACATATACGTCAAAAGGGACTAGTGAATGGAGAATGCCACCATTATAGGGGGATAAAAGAAAGCCAACAGCAAATGCAAACATTGGCTAACTGTGCAAGATGGGGGACAGGAGATAAGATGCACACATTGACAAAATGACGTAAAGATTTGGAAGATGGAAAAATGCAATGTGAGTTCTGTAAATCTGTCTCTGGAAGTGAGCATGACCATAGCAAGAGAACATGGACTAGCAAAAGGAACTCTGATCACAGGAAGGGAAATCTTTTAAGATAAGAGAGCAAGTTGCAGTCATTGGATAATGGGAATAAGAACCATAAAAAGGTCAGAGATACCATGCAATGTCAAAGTCCTTATGATTGAGGTGTTTTGGTGGCTAGTAACAAATTCGGTAAGTTGAATAAGGGTGGAAAACAAAAACAGTTGAAATGCTAAAAAGAATTTGGTTATACTCTAAGGTTCCAAACTGGGGAGATCTAGCCTTATCACACAGATGGATATACTTAGAAAAGGTGCTCCCTAATGGTATGTATAAGCCAGACCAGTGCCTTCGGATTTCTAAGAGAGACTTGGCGATGAAGGTATTAGATTCAATTCCCCTACAGCACGAAAAATGAGCCTGATGATTTTTAGATTTTTTAGTAACGTACTCCTGGGAATGTAAATCTATTGATATAAATGCTGTGATGTTGCAAGAGGAAAAATTCTCAAATTTCGAATTCTAGAAACTACTGCTGATGATATAGAAGGAAAATTAAATACACGTGTGTTTATATGTTGAATGGCATACCAACAATGTGATACTTTTCAACTAGATCCATCTTGTTAAAAGTGAATTACATTCAGTTAAAAGTAAACCCGGTGATGTTTTCTTGCCATCACAAAGACAAACTGGCAGGCATCTTTATGATGCACATTGATGATGCTCTAATGGAAGTTCTGCAGAATTGAAGCAATGTCTCATAGATAAAATAAAATAAAAATGAATTTCAGATTGGTCCTTGAACTTCAGAGGCATTTAAATATTTACAATTAGATATCGAGCACAGCAAGTCAGGAGTGACCTTGGATCAACAATCTTACTGCAACATTGCTTGTTTCCCAATAAGTAGTATCCGGTATTCAAAAAAACAGATCTTGTTGGCTCAGTTGGTTGGACAACTGGATTATAATGCAGAGTGACAGTAACAGTATGTTTCAATTCCTATACTGGCTGAGGTCACCGTGAAGGTTATGACTTCTCAACATTTCCCTTTGCCTGACTCTCAGCTTAAATCACGACCAGCAATCTCTTTCTCCCTCTAATGAGAGAGCAGCCTCATGATCCTCTGGGACAATGGTGACTTTACCTTTGAACCAGTGAACCGCACTTTAATTTGAAGTGCTATAGTTGCATGCTAAAATAATTTAAAATCTTTGTTATAGAAAACAAAGGGGTTAAAAGAGGGGAGTCAATTTGTTCCCCTCACTTAATCATAACAATCATTAAAAACACCTTGGCTCTGAATCATTGCACCAGCAGAATGAATACATTGGGGGTGTATTTGTCAAATATTCTGAAGTAAATCTTGCCAAGGACAATCTGGAAAGAAAAATTGTCCACAGAATGCTATGTGAATATTCATTCTTTTGGGACAATATTCAATCGACTGAGGGTGTCACAAATAAAAGGTTCAGAGTTGACATTGGTGGCCCAATTGTAGCCTTTAAGTCTCTAATTAATGCTCATTTAAGGGCTCCTTTCTGCCAACACTGATGTTAACCCAGTGGGGATGTAGATAGCACAGGACATGACCTGACCTGCAAAACAGTAAGTGCCTGATTAAGGGATTTGGTATCAGGAAAGGAGGGGCCAATCTTTCTTTCACCTCCCCAACAAGGTGGGAAGGTTATTTATACCTTCCAGCCTGGAAAATAATCAGGATGAAGGTAGAAAAGTGGTAGGGTCCCCATCAGTCACCACAGTCCACGACTTTCCCCAACATATTAATATTGACAATGTTATACTTTACTCAAGCAAATGTTTTTAATGAATAAATTAAAATAGACCCATACTTTGAATCTCTGGGTACTTTATCATCAGGAGAATGGCCCAGCGCAACGTGGAAGAGGAAGTATCTGTCCCAGCCGCAAATAAATTTGTCACTGAAGTCACCAAGTTGTTGTCATGGAAATAGGAATCTGAGTTCTTTGATTCCTTGAAGATAAAAATAAAACAAGCTAAAATTAAATTCTTTTGGAATCATTGAAGTCAGCCTTGTGTAAAGGAAAACATGAATGAGGAAAGGTCATTAGGGTCATTTAGATTAGTCAGCAAATAACACAAGGGGTTGGTATAAATATCGATTTGTAATCTTTGATTGTCCTAAATAATTTCTGTTCCACACATGTACAAATATTTATCCTCCTCAATTAACATTTATCAAGTAAAAATACTGTGACAAGCATTTGATGCATGCAATTGGCCCTTTGCAGAAATAGCCCAAAATCTCCTGGTGGTTTAATTTTATTTTAGGACCAATTTGGAAGGTGAATTTACCTCTATCAGATGGACTGCATTATGTTGGTAAGTGCTGTAATTGTACTTTTGGCTCAAGTACTTGATTCATTACCAGAATCGTAATTCCAGCTTTTGAATTGGAGAAGAGGCAGACATTCTATCACGGGCATTAATAGGCTGCATGTCAACGATCTTCAAACAGAAATTCAGTTTGGGCCTGGACACAATGAAAGGCTCACATCTGCCCCCTGTTGTGAATGTCATCTGATGTCCAATTTCATTAGAAGAGAAGAAAGTCTTGCCATTTATACAGCATCTTTCGTAACTTCTGTATGTGCCAAAGTGCATTGCAACTAATAAAGTACTTTTTTGAAGTATGGTCACTGTTGCAAATTGTAAGTGTAGTAGAGAATTTGTACACAGCAAGATCCCATAAATAGCAATGTGACCATAGAGTTACAGAGTCAGCCCAACTTGCCCATACTGCCCAGTTTTCACAATTAAACTAATCCCATGTTCCTGCGTTTGGTCATATCCCTCCATACTTATCCCATCCATGTACTTGTCTGAATGTTTCTTAAATGTCCAGATCATCAGTTTTTAGGTATTTCTTGAAGGTTAAACATTGGCCAGGGTAACAGTCAGAACTTAATTGTTCTTACTTTAGATAGAGATTTGTGATTCTTTGCATGCACTGGAGAAGGTAGATGCCTTCTTGGTTTTGCATCTTTGTTCAGTTCAATAGAACTGACCATAAGGCATAGAGATAACAAGGTGTGGAGCTGGATGAACACAGCAGGTCAGGCAGCATCAGAGGAGCAGGAAAGCTGACGTTTTGGGTCTGGACCCTACTATTTCTGACCATAAGGCATGATGTATACCCCAGGAAAGATACAACATCACCTACCCATTTCCTGCTTGAAAAACATCTCCTTCTTGTTTTAATGCAGTTAATCTATCTAGTCAGCACAGTCCGCATCTTATTACAAAATCTGGACTATCCAGCAGTTGCTGGGCAATTCCTCGTACTTAGTCTAATGGTGTTGTTTAGTTATAGTGATGTAATATATGTTATTCAGTTGCTCATACGCCTTATACTAAGAATGGATTTTCAAAAATAACACAACAAGCAAAATCATTGGAATACCTCTTTCCGTTTTACCAAGAAAGCATCAATCAGGCTCCCTATATCATTCTCATTCAATGTTTTCTCATGTTCTTTGTAAAAATTCATGATGAGCTGAACCATCTGTGTTCTGTTTTCAAATATCTTCTTGTGGGTTCCAGGCAGAAAGCCCAGGAAAGGGAAAGCATTGTACATCTGGGGAATATAGAGGATGATTATCATTTCACAAATCATCCAACCAAGGTTTTCATGCAACAGAAATTGAACAGTCCAGGCAATTTTTGTTTAAAACGGGAGGTTTTCCCAATAATTGTTTTAAATTAACCCTTCATCTAAAGCAAATTAATATGGAAAACTGGCAGAGAATCATAAAATGCTACCTAGGTTGAAGAATGAGGTACCAGAGATAACAACAAGAGTAAGACAAAGTAAAGGGTTTGTTGAGTATCAGTATTTCAACAGTAGAGGTGAGACAGTGTCTGGAGATGACAGCTGTAGAGGGATTGTGGTGAATGTCAATTCAAAGCTAAACAAAAGAGTTTAAACATTATGTTGGTACATGACTTGTGTGGTGGTTAAACTAATCAGTAAAACTATACTGACTTAGTATAATTTTAGTATGGCGTTTGATTTTGGTGTCTTATTAATGTAATTGTGATATCCTTGTAGAACAGCAAACTGGAGCACACACTTGAAGTTCTAACATGCCATTTCATTCTTTGCTTATGAATTGAAAAGATTTAAGCAATGGCTGCCCCAAAAGATTAGAACTGTATAAGGATTAATTTTGCTACTCAAAATAGTCAAATACAAATCTAAATTCTATTGTAGAATCATAAAATAGAACCATGGAACAGGTACAGCATAGAAGGAGGCCATTTGGCCCATCATATCCATGCCAGCTCTTTGCAAGATCAACTCTGCTGATCCCACTCCCTGCCTTTTCCCTATAACCATGGACATCTTTCACTTTAGGCATTTATCTAATTCCCTTTGGAAGGTCAAAATTGAAGCAGCCTCCACCACAATCTCAAGCAGATATTCCAGATCCTAACCATTTGCCGTGGCAAAAGATTTTCCCTCTGGCCGCCACTGGTTCTTTGGCCAATCACCTGGAATTTCTTTTTATTTGTTCATCGGATAGGGGCATTGCAGCTAGGCTTGTATTTATTGAACTGCTGTGGGCCACATGCTGTAGATAAATCCACAGTTCTGGTAGGGAGTTCTGAGGAAGGGTCACCAGACCCGAAACATTAGCTCTGATTTTTTCCTCACAAATGCTGCAAGACCTACTGAGTTTTTCCAACAATTTCTGTTTTAGTACTGTTCGGGATTTTGACCCAGTGACACTGAAGGAACAGCAATAGATTTCCAAGTCAGGTTGGTGAAAAACTTGGAGAGGGACTTGTTAGTGGTTGTAATGTTCCCATGTATCTACTGCCCTTGTCTTTCAATTGGTAGAGCTTACAGATTTGGAAGGAGCTTTCTGAGGAGTCTTGGTGAGCTTTTGCTGTGCTTGTCCCTTCTATCAATGGAAACAGTTTTAATCCTATCTCCTCTATCCAGGCCCTTCATAATTTTGTTTGAAATCTCTTCTAAAACTTCATTTCTTTAAAGAGAACAGCCCCAGTTTGGAAATCTACCCTCAAAACTAAGGGCCATCACTCTCAGAACTATTCTCGTGAATCTTTTTCTGTATTCTCTCTCATGCCTTCAGTTCCTCCCTAATGTGTGATGCAAGAAATCAGACACAGTGATCAATTGAGGCTGAACAAAAAATTTGCCATAAGTTCTTTGCTTTTATACTCTACACATTTATCTTTAAAGTCCAAGATTCAATATATCTCATTGACTATTTTTTTTTCAAACTGCCTGACACCTGCAACAATTTGCCCTTGCATACCCCAGGCCTCTGCTCCTGAACCTGCTTTAGAATTGTATACATTATTGTATATGGCTTTTCCTCATTCTTCCTACTAAAATGTATCACTTCACTATTTATGTAACGTTGATCATGTACCTGGACTCCAGAAGTTCCAAGTAGATTAAAATTTTCACGTATCAGCTTTGTTATGGTACAAAATGTTTTGTCCTTGTAATCAAACCGTTCACCGAAAACTATTGAGCAGATGATGTTGGCCATGGCAGAGGTGACAGGCACAGATGTATCAAAGGGTCGGCCTGCCAGCAAAAGCAGATCAACATGAAATTAAAGGTTAATTTGAAATGAAAAATGTGATTTATTTCAATTCCCTCTGATACTTTAAAGTCCCATATTCCATTCAGCTGATGGCTCAGTTTCTAAGTCACATAAACCAGGAAGGTCCCATTTCTGGGGATTTTGATGGTATTTTCCAGAACAGAGTAAAAAATGAAGGGAAGAACTGGATATAGATCACAACTTTTACAACTCAGCACATTCCTGAGCACTTTACAGCAATGCAAGTACAGGGGGTCCCTGATTAAAGAAGTCCGATTTATGAATGATTGTGTTTATGAGAAGTTTGTAAAGAAGTTTAATTTTATATATCCGACATACAAACACGTTCTGTACTTATGAATGGCTGTTTTATATTGATCCTGCATAGTGTTCTGACTTGCATACAAATTTACTTGAGAATGGACTCAGAAATCAAACCCATTCATAACTCAGGGACTACCTGTACATATTGGACTGCCATGTTGTATTGTAGGAAACATTGCAGCTAAATTCTTAACAGCCAGCTCTCTGAAGTGGATGTTGGATAATGAATGCATTAGTGGTAATCTTCAAAGGATCCTTAGATTCTGGAAATGTCCCAGAGGATTGGGAAATTGCCATATCAACACCCTTATTCAAAATAGGAGAGAGATTGAAAAAGAACAGGTTAAAAAAGAATACGGCTGTTTATTTAACATCTGTTATTGGGAAAGCATTAAAGTCTATAAGGGATGTAGTAACAGAGCATTGATAGCTACAAAATATAGTCAAGCAGAGTCAGTATGTCTTCATGAAGGGGAAATCATGTCTGACAAATTTCTCATCATCTAAAAGCAGCCATGGAATGATCACCACAGCATCTGTTCTAACGTTAGACTGCAACACTGGGAAAATCTCCCCTAATCTTCCTTGATATAGACTTATAGGCGATAAACTTCATGACAGCAATCCTAAGTAAGGCAGGGGAAATCCCCTCTTTAGTCTTCAGTATTCCTCTTCAATGGTAATGTATTGTCTGCCCTATGCTTGTCGTAAGCACACTTTTTCTTTCTGAAGTTAATTTCTACCTCCTTTGACATCTAGGAACAGTAGATTTGTTTGTTTGTTCTACCTTTCCCATTTGAGGGAATATGCCTCGAACCATCTGTTCTTTGAAGGTAACCCCTTGTTCTGATACTGACTTTCCTGCTAATTTCTTGCTCCAATCAATCTTGGTGATCTTTATTTTTGCCTCATTGAAGTCAGCTTTCCATCAATTGATTTTTCTTACTCTGGATTGTTGGGTATCATTCTCCACCACCACTTTACGAAACAATGATCACTGTCTCCTAAATGCTCCTCTACTGTTTTAATCTGAGCTTTCTTTAAACTTTCCAGGACGTTCCATGGTACTGAATAACTTTCCAACCAGTTCTGCACCAACTGAAACTGTTAACAGGACAAGTTCCATCATGAAGTGTGTTTTGAACTGAGCGCACACTAATTGCACCCTTTATTTGTAGTTGTCCTAATGCAGTAATTTACTTACACAGAATGCACAGCAAAAAAGCAAGCCATTCAGCCATCTGATCTGTACAGTGCTTATGTCATTTTTTTGCCTAAGCCTATCAGATTATCTTTCTATTCCTCTCTTCTTTATGTTTTTATCCAGCTAACCCCTAACTGCATCTATAGTCATCTCAACCACTCACAACTTTCACAGTCTCACTAATTTCTGGGGAGGTATTTTCTCCTGAATTCCCTGCTAGATTTAACAGTGACTATTTTATATTTATGAACCCTAATTCTAGATGGCATTTGATAAAGTATCCCATCAAAGGTTATTGCGAAAAATAAAAGTTCCTCAGGTAGTGCATTGGCATAGGTAGAAGATTGGCTGGCTATCAGGAAACAGAGTAGGCATTCTTTTCCTGGTAAGATGTAATGTAGGTAATGATTTGGCAATTGGTTCTGGGACTTAAATTGTTCGCAATTTATGTAAATAATCAGCCAGGGTTCCTGTTCCTGATCACCTTCCTGAACTACACAAAACACATACAGCACAGAAACTATATTGAGCCAATTGATCTGTGCCGTGTTGCTTTCAATCTATGCCCTCACTTTCTTATTCCTTTTGCCCTTCTGGCTTTTTGCATATTCTTATTCATTTCTCCTTCTTGCATTCATGTACCTTCCTTTCAAAGGCAGCTGTGCTACTCATGTGAACCGGTCCTTGAGCATCTGTGTTCTAACATCAACCAGTCCTCATGCTAGCAAATTTCACACTCTCACCTCTCACTGTGTCAAGACTTCACCTGAATTTCCCAATGGATTTATTTGTGAGTACCTAATATTTCTGGTCCCAATTCTGGTCCCTGCCACAATTGGAAACAACTTTTTATAATTAATATGACTTCTCACTGGAAAGTGTGCTTTGATAGGTATTAGTTGAAGAGATTCGGGTTCAGACACAGTGATGAGCCAATGACATATTTCAGTCCAATATCCAAGTAATGTTTGACAATGTATTACACCAAGCAGACCTTCCAGTATGCCAGAATGTTAACAACCTGAAGTAAAATTGAAACGTAAAGTAACATTGAATACTTCTGCAAGAGTAATGTAAGCAGATTGCACACCAATAGATCGCTAAAATATAATTATGGAACTAAACTCTAACCTTCGTGAGATTGGATTTCTTGCACTAGAAACCTAGCTTCCTCTGTAACTTTATCTTCAATCGTTTTCTTTCCCATTCCAAAATTACGTAGGGTCATTAAAGCAAATCGTCGCATCTGTTTCCATGACTCCCCATGTCCAAAAGAAATACCTGGAATGTACATCAAATGGAAGATAACTTACTTTGTTTCCAGTACATTCAGGACCAGAGTAGAAATAAATGTCAGGATTTTATGCCATCATAGAATCACAGAATTGTTACAGTGCAGAAGGCGGCCATTCTGCCCGTGTGCCTGCACCAGCTCTTCAAGCCCACATTGTTACCTGCTAACAATCTCCCTCTTTTTCCCCATACCTCCACACACTATTTCTATCCAAATAATTACCCAATGCCCTCTTGAATGCCCCAACTAAATTTGCCACCACTACATTTCCAGGCAGTGTGTTCCATACTCTAACTATTCACTGTATGAAAATGTTTTTTTCTCCCAGCATCCTTTCTTTATTTGCACATTGCTTTCAATCTATGCCCTCACTTTCTTATTCCTTTTGCCCTCAGCCATGCCTTCTACCTTCATGTGTAAATCTCCTCTTAGCTTTCGGTATTCCTGTTTGTTCTCAATATGTTTTTTGCCCTATACTTGTCATAAGCACATGTTTTCTTTCTAACGTTAATTTCTACCACCTTTGTCATCCAGGGAACTCTAGATTTGTTTGTCCTACCTTTCTCATTTGAGGGAATATACCTCAAACCGTCTGTTCTTTGAAAGTAGCCCATTGGTCTGTTACTGTCTTTCCCACCAATCCCATGTTCCAGTCAATCTTGCTGAACTCAGTTCTTGCCCCTTTGAAGTCAATTCTGCATCAATTGATTTTTCTTACTTTGGATTGTTGCATGTCATTCTCCACCACCATCCTGAACCATGTGAAGCACTGTATCCTAAATGTTTCCCCACTGTTTTAACTTGAGCTTTCTTTAAACTTTCCAGGAGGTTCCACAGTACTGAGTAACTTTCCAACCAGTTCTGCACCAACTGAAACTGTTAACAGAACAAGTTCCATCATGAAGTGTTGTGTTGAATTGATCCCTACATTTGTAGTTGCCCCAGTGCAGTAATTTACTTAGAATTACACAGAATGCACAGCACAAAAGCAAATCATTAAGCCACCCGATCTGTACAGTGCTAAGGTCATTTTTTGCCTAAACCTATCAGATTATCTTTCTATTCCTTTTTTCTTTATGTTTTATCCGGCTAACCCCTAACTGCATCTATAGTCATCTCAACCACTCGCAACTTTCACAGCCTCACTAATTTCTGGGGGGGTATTTTCTCTGAATTCCCTATTGATTTAACAGTGACTATTTTACATTTATGATCCCTAATTCTAGATGGCATTTGAAAAAAATGTGCCATCCAAGATTATTGCAAAAAATAAAAGATCAAGATGTAGAGGTAGCATATTGACATGGATAGTACATTGGCTGGAGCATGGAATGTGCTACCTGGAAATGTGGTGGAGGGAGGTTTAATTGAGGCATTCAAGAAGACATTGGCTGGATATCAAGAAACAAACAGTAGGCGCATATGAGTCACTGGGACCTCAACTGTTTGGAAATTTATGTAAATAATTTTGGACAAAGGCATAAAAGATAATGTTGCCAAATTTGCTAATACCACAAAGTTTTGAAGAGGACATGAGAAGGCTACAAAAAGATATAGATATATTAAATGAGTAGGTAAAGGTCTGGCTAATGGATATTTAATGTGGGAAAATGCAAACTTGTCCATTTTAACAGGATGCATAAAAAAGAAATGCATTATCCAAATTGTGTCAGATTGCATTGCTCTGAGATATGAAGGGAACTGGGTGTCTGAATGCATAAAGTGCAAAACTTTAGGTTACAGATGCAGCAAAGAATTAGAAAAGCTAATCGAATGTGGAAGCAATAGGAATGTGGATTTGAGGTTACAATCAGATCACCCATGATCTTAAAGAATGGTGGAGCAGGTAGCAAGGAAAAAATGGTCTGCTCATGCTTCTTATTTGTATATTAAGATGTTCTGGATTCCATCACAAATGGAAATATCCCTTTCAATGAATAAGACTTCTCACAATGCTGCCAAGCCTGCAACAGTTCACTGATCCAGCATTTTTCAATGGAACCTAAATTCACCTTTGTAAATGTTTTCCTGAACCTGTGATCTTTTTGTTTTTGTTATGTTAACAAATATATATAATATCAATGATTCATAATGCAGGATCCGTTACTGGGGCCATATGTTATCAATCAGCTACCAATGGCACACAACAACGTGGGTATGATTCCACTGCACCTTTTTTTAACTACTAAGCAGTGGTACATACTCACTGTGATACTGATTGTTAGAGATCTTATGAACCTGGGTCAGCTTCACATGGCAAATCCATGAACAGATCTCCTGAAGCATCTCTGGAGCACATGACCAAACTGCTGTACCTGACTTCAGTAACAAGTTGTTCACAAAGCCTTTTCTTTATATCTCTTTTCTTGTTCTGACTTTGCCATAATAGGCAATATCTGGCTTTAGCTCATGTCGCTGGGTTATAATCGCATCACTGTCCTATTCAAAGTCCTCGCCAAATGTCTCTGTCTGTCTCTTCAAGGATATCTTTGAATAAACACAGGGTCGGGGAGGAGAGTGGGGAGAAAGGGTTGTCTGGAGCTTGACTCCCTTATCTTTATGGTCACTGAGACAGTGTGTCACAATTTGCTCACAGTTCCAACGCGGTTTCAGAATTTTAGCAAAAATCTGCCTTGACTGATATCTTCCCGTCCTGCCTTCCTAACCTCAAACCTTTATGCAATTCATTAGCCAGGGCACTGATTTTTTTCCTTGTTGCCCAGTCCACCATCATGAGACAAATCTAGCAGGACATCACCCCAACCACTTTACATTCATTAAGAAGAAAGAAATAAAAGCATGGTTGCATGACTCAAAATGATAAATATGATACAAGAGCAAATAATGCATTGGCTCGCAGAACTTTTGGATGTGTTGGCTTGCAATAGGAAAGGGAAGAGTTGCCAATTACCATAGCCATTTGCCTGCATTTCCAGCACTGGGATTTTTGCTCTCTCTGCAAATGTGTCTGCATGATCCACAAGAGCTTCTTTCACTGTTTCGTACCCTGTGAGCACCACTAATTTTTCCAGTCCCAGCTGAATGGTAAACACAGATCCATATTTCTCCGATAACTGAAATTAAACCAAAATAAGCGTGTCAATACCATAAAGCAGGTGAGGGTGGAGGAGGAGGGGAAAGGGGTGAAAGTGGATTCAGGTGTGGACTGAAAGAATGGTATTGGACCAATTACCCCATTAAGGTCTGATTTGAGTAGACGTGAACGTAGACTCAGAAACCAGTCAGCAAATACAACATTTCTTGTTTTGTATCTAATACTACTGCTGATTGCCCTCAAGATTTCTGGGTTGTTCAAAGTTTCCCGCAATGTGCTAGTAAGATTTCTAAAAGGACCAGAAGTTACACAGAGGTCATGAAGAAATTTTCAACGAGTTATCTACAACGGAAGGCGATAACATGACATGCTGCATCATGAGGAAATGTGTTATTGAATTGAGTGCATGTAAAATGTATTATAGCTGTCAATTACTAGTTTAAGTCTCAAAACCAAACAATACAGTGACTGTGTAAATGGAGTTAATTTTACATTACACAGGACTTTATAGGATATTCAGAGCACAAACCAGGCAATTAAGCCCAAACTAGTGCATGACAGTTTTTATCCTTCACTCAAAAATTTTTCTGCTCTAATTCTTTATCAGCGTACCCCCTATTCCTTTCTACTCTGTAGGTTTATCAAGCTTCTCCTTAAATGCGAAAGTGTTGTTCGCTGCAACCACTCCCTGTGGTAGTAAGTTCCATATTCTCACCACTCTCTGGGCAAAGAAGGCTTGTTGGAATTATCTATTTACACTACTTGGTGACCATCTTAATATTGTTGGCTTTGGATTTGCTCTGCTTCCCACAAGTGGAAATATTCTCTCTGTACACAAAAACAAAAATTGCTGGAAAATCTCAGCAGGTCTGGCAGCATCTGCGAACAATCTAACAAATCAGAGATAACGTTTTGGTTCCAGTGACCCTTCCTCAGAACTGATGGTAGCTAGGAAAATGTGGGATTTTATGCAGAAGATAGGGTGGGGGGAGGGGGTAAGGAGTAAATGATAGGTGGGGATAGAGCCCAAAGACAGAGAAAAACAGTTGGACAGCCAAAGCAGCGGATAATGATCTGGCTAGGAGGGTGAATAGCTGTTAATGGAACCATTAGTGGCTAACATGGGTTGTGTGTAATAGCAGAGTATGTGATTACATAGTTCTGAGGAAGGCGCTGAGGAAATATTAATTCTGATTTCTCTTCACAGATGCTGCCAGACCAGCTGAGGTTTTCCAGCAACTTCTGTTTGTGTTTCTGATTTACAGCATCTGCAGTTCTCTCGGTTTTTATTTAGTATTAACTCGCTACCACAACTCTTCTATGCATACCCACCTTGAAGAAGTTCTGCTCCTTTCTCCAATGGGATTTCCATTCCAATCATTTTTCTTTTCCACCGACATTAATTTCACTGCCACTCCTGGTGTTTAACGATGTATTTGCTGAGACTTGGTTCCACAGCCACATCGCATTCCTCAATGACTGCCTCCAGATTAGACTAATCCCCACATGGATTTCAACTCAAGTTTTATCCCTTGTGCTTTGAATCCACCAAGGATCACAGGTTTCTTCGCGACGTCCAAAGTTCCACAGACATCTTTTCTCATCACATCCTGAGATCCAAACTCAGTGTCATACAGCATCATATGCACACTCTCGACTTCTCTCTCCAACAGCACCGCTTCACACTGGCTCAAGCTTGCACCACTCTGCAGTTCCATTTCATCCTTCAGCTCTTTAAGACAGTTCTGAGGAAGGGTCACTGGACCTGAAGCGTTAACTCCTATTTCTGTTCACAGATGCTGCCAGACCTGCTGAGCTTTTCCAGCAACTTCTGTTTTTGTATCCTATTACAAGGCCTGGTGTGTGGGGTGGGGCGAAGTTAGAACATAGGAGAGTTCAAGCTCCAAAGTTACTGAAATCAATATTATGTCCAGAAGGCTGGTGGCGCCCCAAGTGGAAAATGACGTGTTGTTCTTCCAGCTTATGCAGAGCTTTGCTGGAGGACTGCTTCAAGTCTGAGACAGAGATGCTGACCAGGGAAGAGGGTGATGTATTGAAGTGGCAGGCAACTGGAAGCTCAGGGTCATTTCTGCGGGCAGAGTGTAGGTGTTCTGTGAAGTGGCTACCCAGTCTACTCTTTGTTTCCCCAATGTAGAGGAGACCACATTGTGAGCAGCGAATGCAGTAGATTAGATTGTGTGAGAAACAAAAACGGAAGTTGCTGAAAATGCTCAGCTGTTCTGGCAGCATCTGTGAAGAGAAATTAGAGTTGACATTTCCTCAGAGGGTTCTGAGGAAGGGTCACTGGACCCGAAACGTTAAATCTGTTTTTTCCTTCACAGATGCTTCCAGACCTGCTGAGCTTTTCCAGCAACTTTGTTTTTGTTCCTGATTTACAGCATCCGCAGTTCTTTCGGTTTTTAGATTGTGTGAAGTGCAGGTAAAACACTACTTCACCTGGAAAGTATGTTTCGGCCCTTGGATGCTGAGGAGGGATGAGGTAAATGGGCAAGTATAACACTTTTAGGGATTGCAGGAGAAGGTGCCATGGGGCTGTGGTGGGGTTTTGGGAGTGAAGGAAGAGCGGACCAGGGTATCCAAGAGGGAATGGTCTCTTGTGGAAGGCAGACAAGGGAGAGGAGGGGAATGTGTGCCTAGTGGTGGCATCTCGCTGGGCGGTGGCAGAAATGGTGGCTAATGATGTTTTGGATATGGACGCGGGTGGGATTGTAGGTAAGGACAAGGGGAATCCCATTGCTGTTGTCGGAGGGAAGAGACGGGGTGAGGGCGCAAGTACAGGAGACAGGTCAGACGGTTGAGGGCCCTTTCAACAATGATGCTGGGGAATCCTAGGTTGAGGAAGAAGGTAGACATTCCAGAGGCTCCCTTTTTGAAGCTGGCGTCATCAGAACACATACAATGGAGATGGAAAAACTTGGAAAATGGAATAGACTCTTTAAAGGAAGCAGGGTGGGAGGACATATAGTTCAGGTAACTGTTGGAGTCGATGGATTTATAATGGATTTTAGTGGCCAGTCTATACCCAGAAATAGAAACAGAGATGTCGAGGAAGGGAAGGGACGATCCAGAGATGTACCAAGGTGAAAGTGAGGGCAGGGTGGAAATTGGACGTGAAATTGATGAACTTTTCCAATTCTGGATAAGAAAGGGAAGCAGCACCGATAAAATCATCAATATATTGGAGAAAGAGTTGTGGGTGGGGGCCAGAATAGGACTCGAACAAGGAATGTTCCACCTACCCCACAAAGAGACAGCATAACCTCTCTGACCAGAAGAAAATGAGAGTTAAAAGAGAAGTTGTTGAGGATGAGGACAAGCTCAGCCAAGCGGACGAGGGTGGTGGTGGGTGGGGACAGTTTAGGCCTTTGTTCCAGGAAGAAACGCAGAGCCCTGAGACCATCCGGGTAGAGGGATTGCACATCCATGGTGAAGAGGAGGCGGCTGGAGCCTGCAAATTGGAAATTCTGAAACTGGCATAAAGCATCAGAGGAATCACGGATGTATGTGGGCAGGGACTAGACCAGGGGAGAAAAGACCAAGTCAAGGTAGGAAGAGATGAGCTCTGTGGGTTAGGTGCAGGCTGAAACAATAGGTCTGCCTAGACAGTCCCAGTCATGGATTATCAGAAGGAAGTAAAAATGAGCTGTGTGGGATTGGGATACCAATGTAGAGATCAGTCCACCAGACTACAAAAGTGTAAACTGGAAGAACAACACCTCATTTTCCACTTGGGGGCCCTGCAGCCCTCTGGATTAACATCTATTTCAATAAGTTTAGAGTTTGAACTCCACTATGTTCTAACTCTCCCCCTCCTGGCAGCTCGGCCACACTCCAAGCCTTGTAATCATATAGTCTGCTATTATACACAACCCATTGTTAGCCACTAACAGTCTCCATTAACAACTATTCACCCTCCTAGCCAGATCATTATCTACTCTTTTGTTGGCCGACTGTTTTTCTCTGTCTTTGGGCTCTATCCCCACCTATTGTTTACTCCTTATCCACTCCCTCCACCCTATCTTCTGTATAAAAACCCACATTTTCCTACCTACCATTAGTTTTGAGGAAAGGTCACTGGGCCCAAAATGTTATCTCTGATTTCTCTTCACAGATGCTACCAAACCTGCTGAACTTTTCCAGCAATTTCTGTCTTTATCTCTGGTTTACAGCATCCACATTTCTTTTGATTTTTATTTAATATTCTCTCTGTGTCTACACTGTTAAAACCTTTTCATTAGCTCCCCTGCTCAGCCTTCTCTTACAAGCTTCATTAAGGTAGAGTCGGAAAGGCATTGGTTGACAGCTGAAAAAAATGACCTCTAACAGCACTAAGGAAAATAGATGACTGCATATCATGAGCAGTACAGTACTAAGAAAGAGCTACTTTGTTGTAGGTGCCATAATTAGGATGTATTTTTAAATCACAGCTCTGTCTTTCTGTCTTCTCAGGTAAATGTAAAAGATCCTATAGTAAGACAGATTCAAGGAGCAGAATTCCCTAATCATGTTCCTGTAAGAAGTCAACTACAAAAGTTTGCTTCTAAGTACTAACCTCCCAAGACACCCGAGTCAGAGACTCCTCCAATGTTTGTGCTGAATGCCATCAGAGAATCTGAACTTTGCTCCAGCAATCCTCAACTTCCATGTATGCGTTGAATTTACAACTTGACTAACAGCCTTTACCAAACTTAAGAGATAGTAGGAACTGCAGATGCTGGAGAATCCGAGACAACAAGGTGCAGAGCTGGATGAACACAGCAGGCCAAGCAGCATCATAGGAGCAGAAAGGCTGCGCTTTTGACTAATAGATAATTAAGTATTAGTAACAGAGTCTGATTTTTCTTTATTCAGATTTCTCTAGAAATTCTCCATAATTCTCCTCTTATTCCCACTGCAGTGTTTGATTTAGCTTGTCTGAACACAGATCCTTGTATAGTGTTTGAGTACTTTAGTGTTTGGGTGGAGTGAGTCAAGTGACTGACTCAAGACTGAACAAGAAAATTCTAAAGAAAAATTAGATGTGTTGCCCCTATCTGTAATTACTTGTATATTGAAAGTGTTGCAAATTTCTAAGATATTTTAAATCATGTAAATAAACTGAATTCAGATCTAGCTCTGCATTACATGAACAAGATACACAACAACTCAATCCAAACATTAAGAATGATAAACCTTAGTATCATCATAGTGATTCTACTGCATAAAGCTCTAACCAGACAACATGATTCAGGATAGGCAAGCAGGTCTGTTCCTTTTACAGCCTTATTTTTCTCCACCACCATCTTGAGTACATTGACACAATAGAATTTAACAAAGATAAACTTATCTGACCTCCATCAGGCTTTTGTAGAGCATTTTCAGGTCCAGCATATGCAGGTTCCCGATCAATGGTAAAGGAGTTGGACATGGGGGAAGGTAGAAAGCAGCTGAAGGTTTGGACCCTCTATATAAATACAACAGAACAATTCCAATCAAAAGCAAAAGAAGGACTGAGGTGACTGTGTCACCAACAAAGACATTGAGGAAAGACATGATGTACTAAGCATTCATTCCAAAAGCAAGAAACAAATGAGTAAAGTCAAGTAGGGTCTTTGGCTGTAAAGAATCTTCAAAAGTTAAAAATAATACACTTGGATAGAATATTAATATATCTAAGTAAATATTAACAGCCAGTCCAAAAGGACTGACTCTCAACTTTGGAAACCAGTTTGCAGATCAGTGATACTCTCCATTTATTCACCAGTGGCATTTTGCTGTTTGTGTTGTACTGTTCTGTGTTGATATCTGGTTTAATGCCGGTTATATAGAATGCAAAAGACTGGGGTTATTCTCAACACCTTCAATGTGTTATATTGAAATATTATTATTTATGGGAGCTGACTGTGCACGATTTGTCTGTTGTGTTTGCTGCATTGCAACAGTTAGCTACTCTTCAAAAAGTCTTTCATTGGCCGCAACCGGTTTGGGGGTTTGGGATATTGTGAGGCCAATGCAAGCTGCTGTACATATGGGAAGGTGCCATATACATGGAAATGTGCCATATACATGGAAGGTGCCATATACATGGAAAAGTGTTATATACATGGAAAAGTGTTATATACATGGGAAGGTGCCATATACATGGAAGGTGCCATATACATTGGAAGGTGCCATATACATTGGAAGGTGCCATATACATTGGAATGAATTATTTTTTTAGAAAAACACAGCATGACTGCGTTCCATGCATGGTAATATCATTATCAGCACATGTGCTGCTCTCGGGGGTGTTAAAGAGGCAGGACAGAGGCTAAGGCCCCAATTGCAGTGGGATACAGGCTAGCGCCAAGAGTAGAGGTAGGAGTGCAGTGGTGAGGGCAGGCCAGGAGTGTGAGCCTAGGAGCAGGAGTCTGCACTCAATTGAGTTTAGAAGGATGAGGGGGTATCTGATTGAAACTTACAGAACGAGAGGCCTGGATAAAGTGAACATGGAGGAAATGTTTCCACGAGTTGGAGAGACTAGGACCTGAGGGCACAGACTCAGAGTGAAGGGATGCCCTTTAGAACTGAAATGAGGAGGAATTTCTTCAGCCAGAAGGTGGTTAGTCTGTGTAACTCATTGCCATAAAAGCCTGTGGAGGTCAAGTCGTTGACTGTATTTAAGACAGAGATATATAAGTTCTTGATTAGTAAGGGGATCAGGGTTACATGAAGAAGACAGGAGGATGGGATTGAGAAATATATCAGCCATGATTGAATGGTGTAACAGATTCAATGGGCTGAATGGCCTAATTCTGCTCCTAAATCATATGGCCTTCTGGTCTAAGCTGCTGCTTATATCTCAAAGTCACCTTCAGCTTTCAGCTCACAGTTCACAGCTCCAAACATATATTTTTGCATATATTTAAAGAAGTTCTCATTGTACGTTATTATATGACTTTGCTAGTTTGACCTCATGGCTTATTTTCTGCTTCTTTATTATTTTTGGTTATCTTTTCTTGGATTTTAAAACTTCCCTGATTCTCTGGGTTACCATTAATCTTTGCCATGTTGTATGCTTTTTTCTTTTAATTTGATACTATCCTTAATGCCCTTGGTTAACTATGGTCAGTTTACATCTTTCCATTGATCCTTATTCCTTACTGGAATATGCCTTTGCTGTGATTCATGAATTATTTTCTTAAATTTCTGCTATTGTTCATCAGCCATCATTTCTGCTAAGGTCTTCCCAGTCTAATCCAGCTAATTCTGCCCACATTCCTTTGGTAGTTGCTCTTACTTAAGTTTAACACAGTTGTTTCAGACCCAGGTTTCTCACTCTAAATCTGAATGATAAATTACACCATATAATGATCATCATTCCCTACAAGATCTTTTACTATAAGATCATTACTAAACCTGCTTCATTACACATTATCAGATCTAAAATAACCTAATCATTCGTTGGATTTACAACATATTGTTCCTGGACACCGCTCCAAATACATTATAAATTCTTCCTCATGGCAACCTTGGCCAAGTTGATTTTCTGAATGTCCATGAAGATTAAAATGATACATGATTCATGTGCTGCCTTTTTTACATTCTCTCATTGATTTCATTTATTGTTGTCACATGTACCTAAGTACAGTGTAAATTTTTGTTTGGCAAGCAGTACATGCAGATCAAAGGGTGCATAGACAGACTGAGATGTACAAGGTTATGGCTGCACAGGAGGTGCACCAAGCAAGATCAACATTAGCAAAATTAACATTATTTAAAATTAGAGACATCCATTCAGCAGTCTAATAACAGCAGGGAAGAAGTTGTTCTTGAACCTGTGGGTGCATGTGTTCAAATTTCTGTATCTTCTGCCTGATGAAAGAGGTTGTAGGAGAGCATTACCGGGGTGGGAGGGGTCTTTTGATGATGTAGGCAGCCTATCTGCAGCAACGAGATGTGTAAATGGAGTCCATGGATGGGAGGTTGGCTTCCGTGATGGTCTGGACTGCGCATACAAGTTGATGTAGTTTCTCGTGGTCTATTTATTATCTGTCCTACTGTTAGGGACCTATACACTACTCCCACAAGTGTCTTTTTCCCCTTGTTATTTCTTACTGGAATCAATTCAAGATCATTTTTTGCCAACGTTTTTATTCTGTTTCATAAAAACAAAAATACCCCATAATCTCCTTTGTACCTGCACTTTTGAAAAATCACACACTCCTGAATAATCAGATCCAAACTTTGAACTCCTTGTAACTATGTCTCCATATAATAGCTGTTAGGTCACACCTATTGGTCTCTATTTGTGCACCTAAATTAATTTATTTTTTTCCAAATACTACATGTAGTTAAAAGCCATTAACTTTGCCTTTATAAGATTTTTTTCCCCTTTGACCCTATTTGCTTCTTATTTTTGTACACTGTATTCCTTCCTATCCCACTCTGGGTATCATTACCAAAATAGTTGTTCTGCAATGTAGCCATAACCTTTTTTCTTTTTAAGCCTGCGTTTCACCCCCTTCCTGACCCATCTCCTCCTTCAGTTATTATAAAGCTAGAGTTATTTGATTTACCAGATACCTGTCACTGTCACTACTCCATGACTGCCATGGAGTATGATTTGGATGTCTCCCTGCATCACTGATTTCCTTGAGAAGATATTGTCGACATTGCTTCTCAGTAAGGTCATAGAGTCATAGAGGAAATGGGAGTTTTGGCCCATCTTGTGCATACCGCCCAGTTTGCATAATTAATCTAGTCACCTTTGCCTGCATTTGGTCCATATCCCTCCATACCTACCCCATCCATGCACCTGTCCAATTGTTCTTTAAATGGCAAAATTGTACTTACCTCATCCATCACCTCCGGCAGCCCTTTCCAGATAGTCACTGTGTGAAATAATTGCCCTTCTGGCCAAGGCCAACATAATTGGCTGATAGATTAACATTGGATAAGCATCTCTTCGATGATATTACCAAACTTTTGTTACAGTCAAAAAGTTTACTTTCCTTCTCTGTTTCCAAATATCAGAATTCTAACTAAACCACAAATATTGAATCTATTTTCTAATGGGATTAATGAACAGAATTATTGGTGGCATCTATTGGATGGCACAGATATTGGTTATATTGTTATTATACCAAGAAAGATGAACTTGCAGACAATGCACTGCAACCATACAGAAGCAAAATTTATTTTATGATAAGTTAAGTGCAACAATCAATTCTGACAAACAACATAGTGTGGGCTGGATCTTTATACAGTATGGGCAACAGAAGCAACTTCTATTGCTCTGTTTCTAACCTGACTTGTGACCAAGACAATTGAGGGTAATGTCACAGAAAAGCTTGCAGCACATTTATTGCACAATGGGTTCATACTTCTGACAGAGGAGGCCTTGCCTCTCCCAACCTTCAGCCTAGAAATGCGCATTGCCTGCCATTGCAGATGCAGACCTGGGTCAAAATATTCTGGGCACGTTGCTGAAGGTCTGGGAGTTGAGAAAGCATCAGGGTAACAAGTATCTTCCCATTGTCTTGCCATTTTACACAAGTTAGAAAGCTGGTTCATGTACTGCCCACCAGCAGCTAAGCTGAAGCACATAATTGGCTAGTTAAGTCCGCTTCCTACCTGGTTGGATATTGGTGTCTGATAAAAATGGAACTTTCCTGGTATTTACTGTGTAACATGAAACTTAATGTAATGGCTATTACAGAAGTAATTAACTTCACAGGATTATAACATGGGAAAGCAAAAGGGAAGAGTTGCAAGAAACGCAGAGGTCAGGATGAGTATTGAACTAACGCCAATGGATTAGCTGGTGCCAAAATTAGCCTATTATCAGTGCATTGTTTTCAAAAACAAGATGACTTTGCTCTTAGAAGGAAATGAAAATTAACCTTCAAATGGAGGTGGGCAAGGGGACAATGGTCATCTGGCATCATGAGTAGTTGTCCCATTGCCATTGGCCAAAAGTGTTCAGAAAATTGATTGATATAGAGATAATAACCTATGCAAAGGAATACAAGAATAAATGGTCAGGGGCAGAGGGCAATCATCATCAAGCAGACCTTGTAGGCAGCAGCTCTCAATGAGTTGTCCCCAGACAGGAGTTGTCATCCAACAGCAAGCAGTTGGAAGACATACCAGAAGAGGTGGAGAAAGGCCTAGGGAAGAGTTCTCTAATATCTTGGCTAAAAAGCAGAATCCTGTCCCCAGCATTTCGATGAGACTGAAACATTCTGCACCACCAGCCTATTATCAGAGAGTCACTCCCCAAATGTCACAGTTGTATGTTCTCTTTACCTAATTAACTAATGTACTATATCTAAGCTGCTGCTCCTCAATAAACTATCAGAAAATTGTGATAAATCGTTGACTGCCTATATTAGGTAACTGTGATTATGAACCCCCTAAATCGATAACCTTCACTGGTAATTTGTGAGTGGAGGGAGTCTCACTGTCACATGGGCAAAACACCAGGTTGATGCTGGCTGCTTTCTTGTGAGCTGCAAAGACGTGTCCTCCTTTTTGGTCACTCCATTCCTCATGGAGGGAACCTATTGACAATGGCCTGTCT